AGGAGGAGGAGGAGGAGGGAAGGAGGAAGAAGAGGAAGAGGAGGAGGTTCATCCTCCTCCACTTTTTCCTCTCCTCTGAGGTCTTCCCTCCTCTTCCCCCCCCTCTCCCCCTCCCCCCTCCTCTCCCCTTCCTGAGGGGAGGCGTCCTGGTCCTGGGCGCCCAGTGCAGGGGCACTTGCTGGTACCTTCAGGATGTCCAAGGGGGCAGTTAAGCAGGCTTCTTCGAGGAACGACCCAAGAAGGCGGCGTCCTGGCAAGCTGCTTAGGGCGGTTCCGGGGAGCGCTCGGGTAGCCACTCCCCGCCTCAGAAGCCATACGCGCGGCGAACAAGACCAGCCCGTCCGGGACGGCGCGCCGAGAGCAGGGGGAGGCAGAGGCCGAAGAGGGCGACGGCGACGAAGACGGAGGCCGAGAGCCAGGACGGCGACAGCCCCCACCGCGATCACAACGCCGACGACCACGAGGACGCCCGCGACGACGACGGTGACGATGATGCCGATGCTGATGCTGATGCTGATGCTGATGCTGATGCTGATGCTGCTACTGCTGATGCTGATGCTGATGATGATGATGATGATGATGATGATGATGATGATGTGGGCAACTCTCGAGGCCAGGGGGTCCCTTTTTGTGCAAAGGACACGGCAACAGGCGAGGACGGCGGAAGCATGCTGGCGCCATGCACCAGGAAAGGCATTCTAGAGCGGGACAAAGGGTGGGCGGGAGAAGCTTGAGAATGGTAGTGCGGCCCGAAAGAGAGCCACAAAAAGCCGCGGGCAGCAATATGTGGGCAACTCTCGAGGCCAGGGGGTCCCTTTTTGTGCAAAGGACACGGCAACAGGCGAGGACGGCGGAAGCATGCTGGCGCCATGCACCAGGTACTTAGGCTAGCCCATCACACTGGCTGAAAGCCGCATTGACTGAATTTTCACATAGCTTTGATCTGCTGAGCGACGTAGCGAAGCGAATCAACACTGAGAGCCATCCTGTCGCAGGCACATCTTAGAACACTGACGGGGGGGCGCAGCGCTTTGCTGCGGACCTGACGATCTAGAGATGGGATGCCGAGCTCGCCAAGATGTCGTTTCCCAGATCGACAACAGAGCGAGTCGGCAGGCGAACAGATAGCAGAAAGAGAACTAAGGTCCTTAACGTGCCAGCCCACCAATCGAAATCTTCTCTTTACACGGCCAGCAAACATACATGCATCAAAAGCAGCAGCAGACGAACACTGGCTAACGAGAGCGGCGCAGGCTGGGACATCCCAGATAAAAGACGCATCTGGATGACACAGCGTGGCAGGAACTTTATTGCTGCTACATAGTGACAGGAGGCGCACGTACTGACTGCAAAATAGATTCGCAATGTGAATTGATCGAAGCTGGGCACTAGACAAAATCGGCAGGCCGTTGGGACGAGTTATGCTACGAACAAAGGGCTTCTGTGGAAGCCAAGTAGTCGTGTCGGGCTCCACCCACACGCACGAAATGCAGCCTGCACGGATCCAGCCTAGCACACGCTTCATCACTAAAGGATCTGTGATGTCATCAGTGGCCTGGCGTCTCACGCTCAAGTGCAGCACGCCGAAGCCGAGGCGCTGCAGCGCGCGAGCCGCGCCGCCGTCGCCGCCAATCACCAAGGCGGGCAGGTACCTGGACCGCGTCGCCGCGCGTCTGGCTGCACGCCAAATCCGTGTCAGGCGGAGGCCCACCGCGCTGTCACTTGCGGAGGCGAATGCCTGACCGCTGGCGGTGTCGGCGTCGCGGCAAGCGGCCGTCGCAGCGAGAAGACGCCCGTGGTGGTGGTCTGCAGCATGAGATCGTTCATCAGCGAGTCCACCCCGTGCCCACGGCCGATCAGGATCTGGTCTAAAGTGGCAATCTGCTGCAGCACTCGAGCCCTCTTGGCGTGGCGCGAGAGGCTCGGGTCCGTTCTCCACTGGCCGCGGTCCTTGACCTCCTCCCTGGTGCGACGACGAGGTAGGCAGTCGTCGGCCGCACCCCCATGCCGATCCTCTGTCTTCCCAGGGCGATCGAAGCAGGCGCCGTAGACGATCAGGGCCAGACGTCCGTATCCGAGAGAGGCATCGGGTCTTGGTCGAAGAACGCCACCCGCTGACAGGCGATAGGCCGCGTTGGTCGTCGGGTAGGTGTCGATCATCAGCCTGATGAACACTGCCATGCCGAAGAGCTTCCACGAACCGAGGACGCCCACCATGGAGGCCATCGCCGCCCGTGGAAGAGAGGGTCGCATCTGCGGGGGCGCGAGCTTCCGCCAGCCTGTCAAGGCGCGAGCCGCGCGCGTGGACAGCGCCGTGCCCGCCATAGGCGGGCGCAGGTAGTGCTTTACTGAGACGAGCAAGACTCGGCCCGTAGCATCGTCGAAACTGACCAGAAAGAGGTTCACGAAGTAGGTAACTAGGATGACAATGACCTCCGCCGCTGTGGTGATGGTCTGGGGCGTCTGACGGCCCCACACCTCGAACTTCTTGACCGCGCCCCAGTCGTTGACCATGGTCGTGTCCGACACGGCGGCTGACTCGACGACCGAGAGCGCTGCCTGCCCGAGCCGTTCTGGATTTGGCGGCGTCTTGGTCCTCAGCTCCGTCGACGTCAAAGCTCGGTGGCGGCAAAGCTCGGGGGGCCGCCGCCTGGTACTCCTCAAAGGTCGGCCCGACAAAGAAGCCGGTCCTCGACGGCGAGTCAGCGGCATTGCTTTCGCTAGGGATCCATCGCACTGCGTGACGAATGCCTGAGGCTGCCGACAGGGCGCAGAGGCGACGTAGCGGATCACGAAGCCCTCGGGCGCCAGAACGTCCCTTGCCAGCGGCGAGGGCTAGAGCCAAATTGTCGACGGTGAACAGGATGCGATGATGCCGAAGCCGTCCAGACCGAGCCGAGTGTCGCATCGCAAATCCGAGAGCCTCCGCCTCGTATCGCATGATGTCCAGACCGAACCTAGCATGACGTGCGCTGTGTATCGTAGCCCAGCCGTCGAGAGCCGTGATCGAGTCGGGAACCTCGTCGAAGCCGTCCAGCGAAACGTCGTCGATCCCTCGATGTGATGATGATGCGGTAAGCGGGGGCTTGCTATGGGTCTCGGGAGGCCTCGGGCACTGCTCGCAATCTTTGAGGCAGTTTTTGCTCACGGCCGCTTCCAACACAACATTCGGGTCGACTCCCAAAGCGTGCGCACGAGCGCGCACGGCATCGGAGAAGCGGTAGCGCCATCTCTCCGACAATCGCCCTGCGGCTGCAGCCACGTCCTGCTCAACGGTCTTGCGACAGACGCCAATGCCGTAGGGAGAGGCGTCGCTGCAGAAAGTGGTGGCCGCCCACTCTGCCCTGACATCAGCCCCCCACAAAGGGATGAGGGAAGCAGCAGCGCGAAGCTCAGCGACGACTGACGGCCACAGCGGCAAAGCCCGACGGGAGTCCTGACCCATGAAGCGGAAGACTGCATGGAAGATCGACAGCATGGGCCTGTTGGCGATCATCCCCCAGGCGCAATGACCGACCACGGCGGACAGCGCAAGCGGCGACGCATAGCCTCGTCTGAGTAGACCGAGGAGGGCCTGGCGCAGCCTGCACAACCGGTCCACCTTGCACCTGATGACGCCCACGTCGCCCAGGATGTCGAGGCCTGTGAAGATGACGCGAGGCGCCGCGGGGGCGAACTCGTCCACGGGCAAGCCCCTCGCCACCAGCACGTCGCGGATGGCCTGGCACGAAGCGGTGGCAACCTCTGGATCGAGAGACACGGTGGCGAAGTTGTCCACGTAACCCGCTGCGATGATGTCGGTATCGTTTCGCAGAGGACGAGGTGCTGCACCGCCCACCAGCATCGCATCGTCATCGATCCCCGCGTCGCGAATGGCCGCGGTTAAAGCCGACTGGCAGAAGTGAAGAGCCCACGACCAACCCATCGGCATCACTGACACGAACGGCTGTAAAAAGGCCTTCGTCGGGATCTTGACACCATTGATCACCTTGAGACCCACGTACCGATTCGGGACCACTGGCAAGGAGAAGTATCGGTGCAGCTGGGGCGGCAGCTTCATGTGATAAAAGGCGCACTGGATGTCACCCTGCGCCACGTAGAAGTCATTCGACGCCTCGAGGGCACTCCGTGCCGACGGAGTCGGCAATCTCGTAGAGGGAGGGGCAGAGAAGGACATGTTGGCCACCCGCGTATCAAAAACGAGCCGCAGGTTGACGCCATTCGACTTCTCGACGAAGAAGAAACCTGTGGAGTACGCCGCCTGACGTTCGGCGACTTCCCACTCTAGCATGCCCGCCTGGTCCAGGCGCAGCAAAAAATCAGCATACTCCCGAGGGCGAAACCGCAGGCGAGGATCCACGTATGGCGACCCGATGCCCGAGTTCATCCTGAGAGCGGCTGTCTCCGCAGGGTCACGTAGCATTTGTTGCCTCCACCCTGACAACGTTGAACGATCGGCGTCGGACACGAGATCGGCCGTGGGAACGGGGGCCACGTGCTTCGGCCAGGAGACGAGCTCCTTGTCGTAGGGTCTCACCCGAGACTCACCAGAGTACCCCGGCGCCGACGCGAGCAACTCTGCTAGGGCTGCCTCGCATCTGGTAGGAGATTCGGAATATCCAGAGGGGAGTTCAAAATCGCGAAACTGTTGAGCAAGGCACTCTTCAGCGTCGCTGCGAGCGCGTGGAGGAAGACCTGGAGGCGGAGCAACCATGTCATCAGGGTCGCAGTGGTACATGTCGTTGAGGGTGGACACAGCATCGTTGTACCACTCTCTCCAGGCAGCACCTTTTGCAGCCCGTCCGCGGGCTGAACCTCCCATCGACGCGATACCAGATCGCCGCTCCACAGGGATAGGACGGAGAGGGAAATGTCTCGCTGCCGCCATTGATGAGCAGCGATGGGGCAATGTGCCTGACTGGCGCCACTGGAGCGCGCCCCGCAGCCAGGCCTGGACTTCTCAGACGTCATGGCGCCCGCAAGGCACGCTCCTCACGCGCCTTGCGACGTTCTTTGCTGATGGCGGCCTCCGCCCGCATCTGATCTGCAATGTACTCAAGCAGCCTCGGCGAGATGCACAGGTTCGCCTTGGAGACGCCCGCGCCGAGGAAGTAGCTCGTCTCGGGGATGCTGGAGGCCGCGGCCGTCGCACCACTCCTAGCTCCAGACTTGGCCTTGGGAGCGGCGGCCGTCTGGGGCAGCGACCGACTCTCGTACACCCGCTCCTCCAGCAGCTGGAGCTGACGTGCGACGATCTCGAACGACGCCATCTCTGCCACCTGCAGCTGATCGTAGACCACGGCGAGGTCCAGGACCCGACACAAGGTCTCGTGGAGCTTGGCGTGCTCGTCGTCGTCGGCCAAAGCCATGGACGTGAGCCAGCGCTGATGCCACGCGGTGGGAGTTCCCGCCATGGTTGACATGAAGGACAGGCACCAGAGAAGCGTCCGTGGGCCCTGGACTGGCCAGCCCTGCACCTCGGTCTCGGAGAGGCCGTTCACCATCTCGCCGAACCTCCGCTCACGCTCCCCCCGCATGTTGATCGCCATCGGCAGCACCCTGAAATCGCCAGCGGGCGCGGGGAGCGGAGCGACCGCGGCAGGACCGCCAGCAGCAGCTCCAGGCACGTGCGACAGCGGCGGCGCCGCGGCAGGGCCAGGTGGCACGGGTCCTAGCGCAGCGGCGAGCGCCGCGACTCCTGGGACGGCGCCAGGCGGTACGGGAGCAGCAGGACCAGCCGCAGGTGGAAGTGCGAGAGGCGGCGCCGGCGGCGCCGCGGCCGCGGCAGCAGGGTCGGCCAGAAGGAAGGGTCCTGGAGGCGCGCCCGCCGCGTTGGCCGCCGAGAGAGCCAGAGGAAGAGGATCTGGTGGCATTGGGTAGCCCGCAGCCACAGAGCGACCCACGGCGGCCCACAGCTCCGCGGCGGACGGCAGGCGCCGAAAGCGATGCACGGCGGCGCCGACCAGCGCGGGAGGCGTGTCGCCCTGGCCAGCCAACGGCAGCACCGCCCGCACGTCGGGCCCAACCACGATCGGCTCGTCGTAGTCGTCGAAGTCGGGCGTGACGACGTAGGCGAACCCCGCTGTGACCCCGAGTACCAGACGCTCGTGCCACAGGGCCACACCGCCGACGCGGTAGCGTATGGCGTGGAAGCTACCCGCCATCACTGCAGCGCTGGGGCTCTGGCGCGAGCGAGGCGCACCTGCTCGGCAGCGAGGACGGCGATGTCGATCACCTCCGTGGGCAGCTCGCCAACCGCAGGCTCGAGAGGCGGTGCGAGCGCGCGGCGCGCCAGGAAGGCGCCTGCCACAGCGCCGACGGCGAGCCCGCTGTGCGCGCGGCCACCGCGTAGGCCGCCACGAGGCCCGCGCACGAGGGCTCCACCACCTGGCCGCCAGCGCCCGCGCACACGCAGGAAGGGCAAGCCAGGGTCGGCGGCGCAGGGCACGCCAAATGCGAGGAGCAGTTCCCGCAACTGGGCGCCGAAGCGCGCGCCACCAGCGAGGCCCCAAGCGCCTGCGCCCCAAACCTCAGGACGTCCGCTGCATGGTGGGCGAGGTCCTGCATTCCAGGCAGGACACCTGAGAAGCTTGAGAATGGTAGTGCGGCCCGAAAGAGAGCCACAAAAAGCCGCGGGCAGCAATATGATGATGATGATGATGATGATGATGATGATGATGATGATGATGATGATGATGATGATGATGATGATGATGATGATGATGATGATGATGATGATGATGATGGTGATGATGCTGACGATGCTGATGATGATGATGATGACGACGACGACGACGACGACGACGACGACGACGACGACGAACACGACGACGACCACGACGACGACCGTCACGACGGCGGCGGCGGCGACGACATCGGCGGCGCGCCGCACGCCGCCGCTCCTGGCAGAACCAGCGGTACATGCTGCCGGTGACGTCACTCGACGACGGGCACTTCGAGCACCCCTGCTTCGGCGACTCCAAAGGGTGTGGTTTGCAAAGGGTGTGGTTTGCAATCGGCACCCTGGAAGCACCATGAGGGGCGGGCGGGTGCCTCGATAGAGTTCTCGCCCGCGCCCCGAGGAGGCCCGACGAGGACAGTGTCGTGCCCTCCAGGCCCCCACGGCGCCGATCGCAAACCACACCCTGGCGTAACCACACCCTTTGTAGTCGCCGACTGCTAACGCCGCGGGCGCGGGGGCGTGCCGGCGGAGGCGGCAGCGGACGCGGCGGTGAACAGCGGCAACGGGTCGTGGTCGCCGCCACGCGTCGGCATGTGTCAAGACAGGCGGCGGCGGCGATGGCAACAATGCCGACGGCGACGGGTGGTGGTCGCAGCGCTCAGCCAAACTGAATTCACAAGGGGCGCGAAATAACGACCGAAACCGATGACAGGCCCCAAGAGGGCCTGGGTGCACGAGGGGCGCCAGAGCAACAACCATGGAAAGCGCTGAGAAACAACGAGGTCTTTCCGAACACGAGCTGTTCCTAATTTCAGCACGCTGGCTGCGCAATCTTCCTCTGGAGCACGCCGAAGATCATTAAAGTCGGCGATTGTAGGGACAACGCTCATGCATACTCTCAGATCGCCAGCATCCGCCGAGCATGATGGAAACGAAGCAGCAAGAAACTGAGGAGGAACATTATACAAAACAAAATAACGGCAACGAAAACCAGGATAGCGTGCAAAACGTTTCATTTCGGCAATCTCAGGGCTGTCGTGAACTTTAGGGGGTAATATTGAAGGTCGTCCGGGGTCTGCCTGTGCCACCTTGGACCCTTTTTCGGGCCGTCTTGGGCCTTCGGGGCCGTCTTGGGGCCTCTTGGGGGCGTCGCGGAGCCGTCTTGGACTGCCCTAGAGCCCCCTTAGGACTTCTGGAAAAGTCTTGAGTCCCTCTGAAGGCTTTGTGGGCCAGAAAGGACCCTCTTGGGCCGTCCACGGGCCTTCTAGGAAACGAACGCTGCATAGGGAGCGAGCGGGGGCTTCTCTGGCCACCGCGAGCATCGGCCACGAATCCCACCAGCCCTCTGGGAGCAGGTTGCCCAACCACGTCCTTCACTCCCCTTTCCAATCCCCTCTTCCCTTCGCAGGGGGGGAACTTCCCCCCCCTCTCTGAGGTGTTCTGAGTCATCCCGCGATGTGTGTCGGCGTCCTCTTTCGCTCAAAATGGCTCCAAGAGGGCCTCCGCCGCTCAAGACTGGCTTCCAAGATGGCTCAAGGCAGCCGGAAATGGCTCGAGCTGGCTTCGAACATGCCTCGCAGAGGCTCCAAGGGAGCCACATAGCTGGTTCCGAGTGCTCTCGGAGCCCCCAACAAACCCCCAAGAGGCCAACATCATGTTGCACATAGAAATCAGAAACCAATGAGTTCAGCCTTCTCGCCTTTTCGCTTTCGATGAGGCTTTGAGGCCTCATGATGGCCTTCAAGATAAGAGAGGCCCGACATGCTCCAAAGACAGCCCCAATTGCCTGAAGGACGCCCCAAGAGGTGACCTGTCTTGCCTCAACGGGGGGATGCACATCGAGGCCACCCCTCCTTCCAATCGACGCCCTCCACGATGGCCCCAAAATGCCCTCCAGCGCTCCCAAGATGCCCCCAAGAGGGCCCCAAGAGGCCCACGATACCCCCAAAGAGCCGGAAGAGAATCCCACCCTCCAAAATCTATCATAATAGCCCCACAAGGGCTCCAGGAGGGCCGCGGTAGAGCCCCAAGAGAGATCCCTGATAGGGCCTCCAGAAGACCCCAATATGGTTGTCAGAGTCTTCGTCCTCCTCCTCCTCCTCCTCCTGCTCGACTTCGACTTATTCCTCATCGCCCTCCTCTTCCTCCTCGTGTCCTCCTCGTCTTCCGCCTCGTCTATCTCCTCGACCTCCGTCTCGTCCTTCTCGTCCTCCTCGTCCTCCTCGAATCTGATCAGGCTGCCCCAACGTTGTCCCACTGCATGCTTCTAGGTACAATGTCCTGAACAAGGCAACTCGCCTGGGCATCTTCTCTGGATGGGCTGGTGGAGATGCGCGAAGTGTCCATACCATGTTCCACGACCTGAATCTAAGCAACGGCCCGAAAACACGAGCCCCTCCTGACCCTGTAGGCGGTCATGATGTCAGCGTCTTGACTGTATGGCGGACAGAAGAATCCCACCAGACCTTTGAGCTAAGGTGTTCTAACGAGATCTTCCGTACCTCTTCCGAAGACCCTCTTCCCTTTGGGGAAGGGTGCCCTGGGGGCCGCGAGATGACAGAGGGTAGTTTTAGGCCCATGGCTCCACGAGGGCCTCCGACGCTCCAAGGTGGCATCCAATGCAGCTCAAAATAGCCGAAGATGGGTCAGGATAGCTCCCGGCATGCCTCCAAGAAACCCGACGAGGGCCGCAAGACGGTTCGAAGAGCCCTCGGAGCCCCCTCAAGACCCCCCCAAGAGGCCAACATCCTTCAAACACCTGAGACAAATCAATGATGTTTGACGTCGGATGCGAGTTTGAGGCCTCAAGATGTTCCCAAGATGGCCCCATAGAGCCCCAGGAGGGGCCCGAAAGGCCCCCCAAACGACCCCAAGAACGCCCAATATCAGCCCAGGAGCGCCCCAAGACCGCCCCGACGGGCGAGGGCCCCATGGGGGGGCGCAAATTCAGGAGCCCCCCCTTCTTTCATCGACAGCCCCCAGGATGGCCTCATCAAAAGGCCCTTCAGGGCTCCCCAAAGGCCCCTACGACCCAACAGAGCCCCGAGAGGGCCCCAAGATCGCCCAACAGAGCTCCAAAAGAGCCCGAAGAGGACTCCAAGAGGCGATTTTGAGGGCTCTGTCCTGGACCCTCCTCCTCGTTCTCCTCGTCCTTGTCCTCCTCCTTGCCCTCATCGTCCTCTTCCTTTTACTCATGATCCTCGTCGTGCTCGTCGTAGTCGTCGTTGTCGTCGTCATCGTCATCCTCCTCCTCCTCCTCATTCCCTCGCCCCCAGAGCCTTGCTGCCAAAGATCTCTCTGATCACCCTGGTTACCAACTTGGTTTCACTGCATGTGTCTCTTCGTCCCTTTTCTCGTCAACTCTGATGGGCAAGGTTTCTGAATGGGCTGGTGAGGGGATACGCGATAGAGTGAAGAATTGAACATCAATACCCCTTCTATCATTATGTTGGTGACGGCCCCACAGAACATACGTCATGGCCGTGCGTCCTACACCAGCTTCATGCTTGACCTTGGTACGAAGCTGACCCAACCTCACCACTCTGCGGAAGCTCAGAAAGGCAAGAGAGAGAGAGAGAGAAAAACAAAAAAAAAAAATGACGAGGAGAAAGCCCTGGGCCAGATCGCGACATTCAGGCGACCGCTCGGGGAGATCCCGCGCTTTCCGAAAACCCTCGACACGAGCGCAGCTGATGGATCACAACCCGAGGCCAGAGGACCTCCAGAACACCCGCAGACCGTCAGAACCCTCAGGGAGCCCTGGCCTTCGTCGCCGTGGTGGTCGTCGTCGTCGTCGTCGTCGTCGCCGTCGTCGCCGTCGTCGTCGTCGTCGTCGTCGTCGTCGTCGTCGTCGTCGTCGCCGTCGTGCGGCGGCGAGGGGCACCAGGCCGGGAAGGTCCGTCGTCGTCGTCGCCGTCGTCGTCGTCGTCGTCGAATATCTTCCAGAAGGCTCGAGCAGCTCCCGAGCGACCACCGACGCTGCCCCCGGGGGCGGGCCGCGGCGGCGGCCGCGCGCC